ATTTGTGTATATTTCTTTGTGTCTTTAGCCTTGTGGTATGCAATCAACATGCTGTTTTCCAAAGTTACTTTAATTAGTTCCCTCCTCCTCCTCCTCTTCTTTGTTGCTTTGTTATTCACTTATAATACAGTTAAGTTCATTTGTTACTATTTATATTCCATTTTGGTTGATTTAGTTACTTATTTTGGGAGGCATATGTAAATCATTACAGGACTGAGGTTCTGGAGTTTAAAGCTGTCCAGAAAGGTATGCTTTGAGAAGTGTCACTTCCTCCTGATCCTTCCTAACCTATTCCCAGTTTCCCCTCCTTCCCACCCTTTTCCTCTATGCTCCCTGTAAGTAACCGATCTTGTTAGTTGTTGTTAATTTATTTCAGAGAGGAAGGGAGAAGGAGAAAGAGATAGAAACATCAATGATGAAAGAGAATCATTGATTGGCTGCCTCCTGTTCACCCCCTTTCTGGGGATCAAGCCTGCAACCCGGGCATGTGCCCTTAACCAGAGTCGAACCTGGGACTCTTCAATCCGCAGGTCGACACTCTATCCACTGAGCCGAACCAGCTAGGGCCGATCTCTTTAGTTTTTGATTTATGCTTCCTGTATTTCTTATGCACATGTGTACTTCTTATATCCCCTTCTTTATTACATTAACAGTAGCTTTTGTGCTTTTTTCACTCAACATTATATCTTGGAAATCACTCCAAATCAGTTTAAAGAGATCTTTCTCGCCCTAACTGGTTTGGCTCAGGGGATAGAGCGTCGGCCTGCGGACTAAAGGGTCCCAGGTTCGATTCCGGTCAAGGGCATGTGCCTTGGTTGCGGGCACATCCCCAGTGGGGGGTGTGCAGGAGGCAGCTGATCGATGTTTCTCTCTCGGTGTTTCTACCTCTCTATCCCTCTCCCTTCCTCTGTGTAAAAAATCAATAAAATATATACATATATATATATAAAGAGATCTTTCTCACTCTTTTTTTTAATAGCTTCATAGTACTTCATTGTGTGAATGTATCATAATCTGCTCAACTTCTCTCCTGTGTATGATTATTTACATTGTTTCCAGTATTTTGCTATTACAAACCATGCTGCAACCTTGTGAATATGTATTTTCTTATTGTTGGAGGTGTATTTTCAGAGTAGACTCCTAGAAGTTATCAAAAGTTAAGTTTTGTCAGTTTTTGCCAAATTGTTTTTTACCATGCAACTTTTAAAAAGTGGTCAAATTTACCCATCTTTCCCCCACCCCTTCAGATTTTTACTAGTTAGTTACAAAATTTTTCCCCACACTAAAGCTAAAGAAGAACTCACCCACAAATTTCTTCTAGAATTTGTATGGTTTCATTTTGATACAATTAAATCCCATTTCCATTAGTTATTTATTATATAAGACTAGAAGCCCGATGCACAAAAATTCGTGCAAGAGTAGGCCTTCCTTCCCCCGACTGCTGGCACTGGCTTCCCTCCGGCACCCAGGACCCGGGCTTCCCTCCTCCAGCCATAAGCAGGCACCTGGGACCGGGCTAGCTTCCCTCCAGCCACCCACAGGTACCCGGGACCCAGGTTGCCCCCCCCGCCCCTGCCCCCGCCTCAGCTTCATCAGGAAGGACATCCAGAATGATGTCTGGAAAACATCTGGTCTAATTAGCATATTACCCTTTTATTATTATAGACTAGAGGCCCGGTGCACAAAAATTTGTGC